TTTTACATGGAAGTGTACATGTCAGACATGTCGCATCACAAGGCTGACAAGATTATCTAGCATCAGGAGCATAGTTACTAGGACATTAGCTTAGGCATTAGAAGTTGTAAAGATAAAAATCCGTTTAGCAATTAGTACAACCTTAAGCATTACAAACTGCGCAATTAGTAGTACACTTTATAAATATTTTTTAATTATTAATTTTAATGAATTTTGATTATTAATAAATTTAGCATACGTAATCAACTAATATAAACATTTCTCTGATACCATACGATTCTTCAAAAGGGGTTGAAGCTAATGTAGAACTAATTTTTAAATTTAGGGATGTAGCTGTATGGGTAAAGTTTTTAGTAACCTAAATAATTTAATCCTTGAATGAAACTCTTCCACAGATATTACTTGTTCCATCACCTGCGCTCTTAGTTGTAGTAGTTTTCACATCATTATCTACTATCATTTAAATTGATTCGTTGTTCCAATTATCAATTTTATATAATGTGTAACCTATTAATACTGTCCTATGAGGGGCTCTTTATTAATTAAAAAACATGAAATAATGTTATTTGTATTTTTCTTATAAAATCTAATAAAATTACATTCCAGTAAAGTTTTTACTTATGTAAGAATTTACTGAGCTTAAATAAGCTCCACCTAAAAGACTCTTCCCACCACAAACAGTTGTCATAGCTCTACTTGGATTTGCTAAATACCCCAAAAATCCTGAATATGATAATCCAGTTCCTGATATTTCACCTTCCCCAAAGTATGTACTGAACATACCCTTATACAAATATTATCCATCTGTTTAAAATTTGAAAATTAGATTATATGATTAATTTATTTAAAAAATTTATACAGCTAGTCTTAGTAATTATGTCAATGCATTATTAACCACTAACAGTAGTATAAGAAGGACAACTTTAAACACACTATCCATTGAGGAGATAATATCCAGATTGGCAAAGAGTACACATACTATTTGAGCAAGTCTAGCAATAAATATTATAACAAAAATCAATGACACAAAGTGTTCTGGTTGAATCTTAAATTTATCCAGCTGGGCAAAAATTTAAGCATTGGTTATCTAAAGCATAAGTTCCACTATTACAATTGCAAGTATTTCCATTTTAGGTAGAATTAGGTGGACAAGATATACACTAATTAGCTGCAGGTCCATTACAAGTTAGGCACGATTTATGGCAAGTATCTACTGACAAATATAGATTTTTGAGTCCAAAACCTTCATTAGTTATTAGCT